CGGGCTCTGCTAGCAGAGCTGCGAAAAACCTCACAAGCGGCAGAAAATTTCGCAATTGACTCTTCTCCCGCTGCGAATGGCATAAATTAGTCAACTCGGGCCGGCCCGGCGCGGCTCGGCCGTCTGTGAATGCTGATAAGAACTAAAGCTTTTGTGAAGCAATAGCCGCTAAAAAAAAAAAACCTGAAACAGACACTTGGGTAGAAACGAGAATGTAAACGAGAGTGGATGCAGAGAGAAAACATCAGCAAAAAGATGTACACAAAAAAGATAAACACCTTGAAAACTTTTCTTTTACTAGTCTCTGCTTTGTTGCCAAGAAGTTACATCTGCCTACACCCTGGGAATACTGCAAATGTTTAGAAAGATGTGCCTTTGAGCTCCTGGGTCCCAGGATTGGCACCACAACCTTGTCCTACAGCACCCCATGAAGACCTATCTGGCTTAACGTTCTACTAGAGTTAGGGATGTTTTTGTGTTTCTTTTTCCACAAGATTCTTTTAAGTACCAGCAAAAAGAACCAAAGTAGTAGTGACTAGAACACCAGACTGCACTCAGCTAAAGATCAGAGACACTGAATATTTATATGACCAAGATATTTCACCAAATATTTTCTTTATGAAAAGTAATTTTGTGTTTTTTCTTTGTCAGATTGTCTCGATCAAAAAACACAGATTCTATTCGAGAAAAGAATTTTCTTTAAGAACAAAAATTAATTGAATAGAGCCAGTTGCTAGTATCTTAGTGACAGTATTTTTCATTTCATGTCACTAAGTTTAATGTTTACTTGATAAAACAAAGAATTTAAATATCTAAATTTGTAGAATTGAAAATTTCTGTAGTATAGTTTAAATCAATTTTAGAGTGTGTATCTCACAATGTGTAACCAATTCCAAATTACAGAATCAAAGTTCCACTTCCAAAAATGAGAGTGTGAACTAGTTAATAATATAAACTTAATCTTGAAAATTAAAATAATCAGAACCTTAAAATATTATAGTCAAGACCAATAAAAGCCTATAGGTTCTGATAATTCAGAAAT